CCAAAAGTTGAACAGGAAGGTGGGAGATGCAAAAAAAAAATAGCGTTCATTTTTAGCTTCCTTAATTAGCGTCATCAACCCTAGATTCTTCAACCATTATCATAAACTAATCAAAAAACGTGACCTTTGCCGTTTCCTAAGAGCCTTTTCCACCTACGCTGTTAAAACAGTACTTTTTTTTTTGTCATCAGAAGGCAGGAAATGGCAGTACCATTAAGTATCAACCACATTCAAAGTTTCTGAATGGCATCGCGGTTTCTAGTAGATCCATCCCTTAGAGGTCACAGGTTAGATGAAAACTGCGTTAGATAGTGCCACCGATAGACGCCAAGGTTTTCTACCATTTGAATGCACATAGTTTCTGGGCTCTACTGCTTCTGAGAAATTGCTGCACTGCAGAAAAAAAAGTACAGATATTTCCTTCACGACTACCATTATTTTGGATCTATTCAGTCGCAACAAAAAAGGCTGAAAGTAAAATAATCTTAATAAATTCATGAAGATTTATTGCGTGTTTATTTTAGATTAATACGATTCCCCGAATTTGCCGTTTTTTTATTTTTTATTTTTTTGACAAATTTTAATGATCCCAACTTTGAAATGAACGAAGAAATGCTTGAACAAAATTCATTCTTCCTTCTCCAATCTAATGTGTTTCCTTATGAGAGAAAAAAGCAGGAAAAAAACCGTTACGCTTTTTCAAAATATTCTTTAGTTTCCAGGAAGAAACTGCAAAATGTGCAACAGAGGCGCAAAAGGAGAAAGGGGCTCGGAGGGGAGGGTGGGGATTGAAGAGGGGAAAAAAGGAGAAAAAACCAACAATTTGATGGTTCTCGTCTTTTCCCTTTGATCTTCGGTCCATCTTTAATTTTTCATTCTCTACATTTCCCGCTCTCCATCCCTTCCTCTCAAATTCCTCTTTTCTTTGCTTCTCCAGCTCTCCTCAGGTTCGCTACAATGTCTCACCTCCCTAAGTGAAATGACACTGTTGATTAAGTACAACAATTATCATACCACAAAAGCACCAATTCCCCCCAAAAAAAAGGAAAAAAAATGAAAGTTTCTCTTAACTCACTTCATTATCGATGATTTATTGTCATCGTCACTGTTGTCATCATCAGAACTTCATTAAAATTAGTCTGTATGTTTTCAACCGATTACTGTCATTTAATTTCACCGGTTTTGCCAATTAATTCAGGT